TTTTCTCCCTCGCTGCCACCGTGCAACTTCCTCCTCAGGCGCAGCACTTAGCTTCTGCTCCCGCAGTGCTGCTGTATTGGCGATTACAGAAAATGTCCCTGGAGGCTGCGCCCTTCAGCCGGTTGTGCTGGCTGGAGTGGCCGAGCAGCCTGTGGCCTGGCTCCACCCAGTCCTCGTACCCTGCACCCTACAGTAGGCCCTTCCAGAATTTGCAGGAGACCCATCCAGAAGATGCCTGGGCCTCAGCATCTACAACTACCGGGTGGTTGGCCTACCAGTTAGTTGTATGCCAGGCCCAACATTTTTCCACTTCCGGCTTGTACCGGTAGGCCAATTTTTCGTTCCAGGTGGACTGGTGGTTCAAGCTGTCGATACTTGTTCAAGCGCATCTATTCACACAGAGAACTTTGCTGCGTGTACTGCACCGTAATTCAGTTGAAAATATCCCTGCTGTGAGAATCCCCTGACACCTGTTTCCAAGTGCCTGCCTTTTGGATTCATTTGTAAGCTTTTTTGGAAAGGTTCTTTGGGGGTCCCCCTCATATGAAAATTCAAAATTCCCCGAGCTGATTTCGAACAGGCAGAGAGAGAGAGTATGACCATCAGCCACACCATGCCTGGCGAGACCTCGCACACTAGGAATAATAACTCCTTGAACACTTCGCGAGTCGCGAACCCTTTTTTCTGCATATTTTGTAAAACTAAGAAAATTCCCCGAGCTGATTTCAAGTGCTTCAGAGGTTTTCCGAACAGTTGTTGAACAATGTTTGCAGCTTCTGAGCTCTTAGGGCATATGTATACTACCGTCTTCACCCGAATAGAACGCCCGGTCATTATAGCTGTATTTGGCACAACTTTCAGCCCAGAGACGGTGATAATTACGGGGCGTTCTATTTTCGGGGGAAGACGGCAGGACTCTGTCAACTGATTCTGGTTGTAATGGCAGCGGCTCAATTCAGTCAACGAAGTTGTGCTCTCAGAGAAGGCCGCAACACTAACAGCCGTCCTAGGGTGCATTCTTGGCGACCCTCCTGAGGTTCCTCCTGAGTCCTTGTTTTCTTGGAGTAGGCATGGGCAGACACAGATGTCTTTCCTCGAGTAAATGCTTCAATAAATTCAGGGACGCTGGACCCGATTTCCAGCAGCTGCAGCCATTATAATGTTCAGGGACGCTGGACCCGATTTCCAGCACCAGATCTTAGCATGGGACGCTTACCTGTACAGTTAATCCCCGGTGTCCCGGGCAATCAATGCTGGCAGGAAAATACTGTTCTGAAAACCATTATAATGTTTTGGGACGCTGGACCCGATTTCCAAAAAAAAAAAAAAAAAAAAAAAATCTTCTAGGCAAGTCTTGGGGTTACTATATAGAATTCCAACCTCTCGGTTGCCTGGGAGTGCCTTTTGCACTCACTGATTCTTCCAAATCTTCTACAGTTTGGCCAGTGATTCAAGCGGAATTTTGTCTGGTTTCGCATACTTGGTTACCCGACGTTATGCCTCGCCCTAACCACTGTATCAACTCTGATTCGTGCAGCTGCTACGGTAACAGCAGGTGTTTTCATGATGGCAAGGGGGTGTTCTCCCTTGTTTGAATACGCACCCGAAGAGGCTTTAATTATGATTACTTTTGTGGGAGCACTTCTCCATTCATTTCCAAAACTAATCTTAAAACACCATGAGCAGCTGAGTGTTGAGGTCCGAAATTTAAAATCAAATTTTTTATGTGTTTGTTTTTAGGATTTTAGCCATGTATATACTATATACGTGTTGTTGTTATTTTAAGACGGAACCTACTACTGGACTTGAACCACCTCACGGAGAGTATCTTGCGTCCAAGGCTTTCATAATATAATATCCGATTCCGAAACTGGAAAATTCCGCTGTCTTTTTTTTTTTTTTTTTTCAATCTACAGTGCATGTTTGTCTTGTTTTCTATTCATGTGGAAGTAGCGAGCACGTCTGCAGTCAATTCCTGTTCCCGCATCCTTTCAAAAAACAAAGAGCTTAACAGCATTCCCTTTCACATTTGTGGTTTTTTTTTTTTTTTTT